CTATTTTTTCTTTCTTTTTGTTCTTTATTTTTTTAAGGCATCATTAATTGATAAAAAAACACTTAACTTGAAAATTATTATAGAATATTGGATGAAGAATATGTTCAAAATAGTTACAGTTTTTGCTGTATTGGCTGACTAGTGTACTTGTCCTTTCTTATCCTAGACCGATCTTGTTGGCGAGCCAGAAATTGCTTCTTTGGTGCAACGAATAAGGGTTTGTACCTTGCTGCTTTTTGGTTTTCGTCATTCTTGTTAATGATTATTGTATTAAACAGAATATGTTATATTGAAAATAGAACATCAATGGCATGGCTCAACTGAAGCGGACAGAGTTTGGAAAAGTTAACCTGGATTATGTTCTTGGTATTGGAGGATTTGATTTGGAGAGGTAATTTTTTACACCCATTTCATTGTTGTTGGGTTTAGACAATTCTGACCTTGCTGATGGTTGTTGATTTCTTGTTGCTGCTTATTGGACATTACTCCCATTTATTTAAAATTAGGTTCTTAATGATGATTAATGGCTTTAAATGTTGTGCACAATTTGCATGTGAAAAGAAAGGTGGATAGTATCATAGTATAAGTTTTGAATCATTTAACTATTTCTAACAAGACCATTGAATTATTTGTATCTTTGTGTTTGTCTAAATAGAGGAGGGGGACTTGTGAATCTATTTGTAAAAATTAGTTTACAAACAGATTCATGAGACCATTGGAGTTATATATGAAATATTTATTTCCTTTTCTTTAGATTTTTTTTTGGGTATGCATTTGTTCTAATCTCCTTTTGTATACTGCTTCAAACACGTGTTGTTTACCATTGGTGCTGATTAATAAATGATACACTTATAAATGAGAATTATTTTGGGAGCCCAAGCTCCCTCAGTGTGTTAATTTTCTTTGTTCTTCTGTGATATTGCTCTGTTATTAAATTGATCTATAATGTGCAGAACATGCTTCCATGCTTCATAATTTCTCACCTTGTGTTTGGAATCTTGATATCATTTCCTAATCTTGGCTGTAATCTTGCCAGGATAGAGAGTGCTATTGATGCTGAAGGTGAAAAGGAAGATCATGATCATCACCATGATCACCACCACGATCATCATCACCATCATGATGAGAAGCACGACCACAAGCACGGTAAATCCTTCTGATCATTGAAACACATACTCATCATGACATGTTGCTTCTCTGTGAAAGATCCGCTGTTCTTCTTCCTACACATTGAATATGTTGATGATGGCTTTGTGGGTACTATTGTTTATCTGTTGTCAAATTAAAACTGAAAAGTCTACAAAATCTGTTTGTTGCACACAAACAAATGCATTTGTGGAATCTT